AGGTGAGCACTGAAAATCAGCGCTGTGTTGGGGCCTCGACTTCCGGCATAGCATAATGCTGAGCTGCTAACCTAATTTACCGGAATAGGGCGTAGAATGTTTTTGGTTTGCTAAAGTTCTTTATCATTTGTTTCATATTTTAATTAAGCATTAATTTGGCTTTACTGAATTATTTATAAGTATTTTTTTATTTCTTTTATTTTTTGTTAATTTTATTTTTTTTTTCTCTTTTATTGTGTGCGTCTTTTTTTTGGTAAATAAATGGATTTTCTTTCTTTCTTTCTTTCTTAATTAAAAGTGAGCGCCCGGACACTGGGCTATCACGGCTCTTAAAAGTATTCTGTAAATAAAAGCTGTAAATAAAACTAATAAAATAACAGTATGTTTAGAAATTATCAACTTTATTAATAAAATTTCAAAACGAAGAGAAAACAACCACGAAAAACTTGGCCGCCGGTAGTGGCCAGCTAAAGTACGAACATTTATACAAGTTAATAATCGCAAATAATAATTATATTGGTTCGACAGCTGTTATATATCCAATTATCTCATGAGATTCAAAGCACACGGGGCAAATTATCTCTTATTAAGTATTTTTTTTTTGTCTTGTTTGCTGACATCTTTTACTGAACTGGTGAGGAAATTTTAACCTATCCAATAATTTTGAAAGTGAGATAAAGGAATTCCTCTTTGTTTAAAGGCACTCAAATATAAACTTATACAACGGCTAGTCTGGAGGGCAGTTAGTTAATAAAATTCGAATTAAAACATATTTTATCATACCCATATAAATGACTAATACATGCATGGTTGGATTCTTTTGAACTCTTCATTAAACCAATCACCAATAAAACTTGGTTTATGTGCAATAAATTCATCACGCGCAACACAAATCTTTGTACAGATAGGAAAATAAGCAAGTCTGAGGTCGCAACAAGTCACCACCGTGCGGGGCATGTTTTTATGAAAATCTATTACATAAATGGTGATAACCGTCTCAGCGCTATCTATCGTAGAATTTTCTAAATTGCAACTGGCCGGTACTGAATGCCCGCCGGTACTTTAGAAGTTTCACACATGGGTAATTAATCCATCTATGACCATTGGTTTCAAGGAAAGTACAGCCTAAATTAAATTTTAAGTACCATTTAACTCAAGGAAAACGCCATTATATGAAAATAATACAATCATAAATTGACATCAACTTTTTTTGTCATCTCATAAATAAAAATAATTATTTATATTGTATGCGTGCAGCATGTTAATATGTTGAAAAAACTGTTTTCTAAAAGGCGTATTGCAAATCCCGACATAGCTATTTATTTAATGAATATATTATAAATTCATCGTTGTACGCCCCTCAATTCGAACTAGAGCTGTCTGTAACTATAAATTTGCTTATCAAAGCTTTCCGCTTTTCACGGCCAACCATGAGAGTCTTGTCAGCTGCATCTACTTGTATATATCGAACCGAGTCGACAACAGAGAGTCATTTACATGCATTAAAATTGAATAGAACCACGAGGTTAATCCACTAAAAATATTATGGAAAAAATATTGACTTTTATCCATTTGGCTTCCAGCGTTCTTTTGCAAAAAAACCTTATGTGAGCACCTAAGAAGTCAAACATAATAAATCTTTGGCGTCACGATCTGAACAAAGCCCTCCCTCCCGGACTGCCACGAAGCACAATCCTGAGCCACCTACATATTTAACATTTGCATATGTCATCACTTCATCTAGTGGGGGGTCGATCTAAACTACAATAGCCAGTATAAGGCTACCAACTCGAGAACCTTTGGGGAAGAATCCCCATCGGTTATAGGTTATAAACGCTATTAGGCCGACCCGTCGCGACTTATTTTATCACCCGTGCCCAGTAATCTTTGTTTGTGAAAACGACATTGAATTCAATTGATAACGGTTTAATTCACTTCAACAATTTCGATTTTGAAAAGAATTCGAAATTATTGAATTCAAATATCAAATATCTCAGAGATTAATTAATCTGTGCGTTAGTTGGGAGTTCTTTAATTAATGAATCACTACTCTCTGAATACGGCTCAGTGGAGAGAATATTGACATGCTCTATACGAGTAGTTTGTGCGGGTACGTTTGTATTTCGAGTATAAAGTTGTAGTACGAACTTACGAAGCGAAGTTATGTAATCGAATGTTATCCAGTTTCACCATACTCTATTAGTTTATTAAGTCTCCAATCAAATGTATTTGAATTGAAAGAGCTGTTAATAGGAAGAATAATAATATATAATCTACACTTACATTAGCATTTAACAACTTCATACGTGGGTACGGGTTATAAACACGAGTGTAGTACGTGCCCGGAAAAGAGTGCACAATAAATCATTCAATAAATAAGCTGGGCTCAATTTTTAAGGTGGGCGATGCATCCGCAATCCCGTTGATGTTGTACCTAAGTGTCCATGGCCGACGGTAATCACCTACCATTAGGTGAACCGCCCGCTCGCTTGAAACTTTTCTCATAAAAAAATTAAATATTCACCTTTCCAATCTTCCTTTGCTTTTGCTTAAAGAAAAGATGGCTTAATGGAGTTGCATTCTAGAAGCAGTGTGGGCTTAGGATTGCCAGGGTTGCATTCTACTTCTTGAATGTAGGTGCTTACTCGCGGTACGCATTTATTTTTACCCATGCCATTTGGATTATCAAACGCGCCCGCTACGCAATAACGGTTGGTGGATCAGCTACTTAAAAACAGCTCTGAGTTCGAAAATTCTGTGTTCGTTTTTCTTGATGACATTATTTTGATATCATCTAATTTTGAAAATCACATTTCTCTTTTCTCTAAAGAAGAGAAGTAAGAGAGCATAAGTATATGCGCGGCCCTACCCACTGAGTTCGATGAAGCTTTGACAGTCTAAGGACTGAAAGTGTAACATCAGTTATACAAAAACAAGTGGTAAGAGTTAGTGCCTGTTGAGTCAGGTAATAGCGTTATAGAAGAAAACCACTCAGAACCTACTGCAGGTCACTTAGGAGTCCTTAAAACCTGCAAACGTATGGTTGTTCGATATGATTGGCCTGGTATGTACGCGGACGTGGTAAAGTTTGTTTCAACATGCGATACTTGAGTAACCTATAAACACCAAAACGGTCACCCTATAAGCCTTCACGACCATTTCCAACTATTAGCGTAGACCACACGGACCTCTCCCTCCGTCTAGAAAACAAAATTGCCAAATATTGGTTGTCGCATGCCGTTCCTGTAAGACGTGCTACCACTGAAATACTTAAAACAAGTTCGTTTAATGAACCGTAAATGACCGTTATTAAAATGTCAATTCCGTAGTACCATTGGTACTAACCAACGGTACTTTATTTCCAATGTACTCGGGTAATCTCGTTCAGCGATGGCCCATAACACGACGCCTAAGATTTAATGTATTCTATATAACATTTCTCGTTTGTAGACCTTTTAAGCTTTTATTCGATTAAGCCGACTTTGATAGATACCTAAACCTAACATTTACATTTGCTTATGGCGTGACGGGCTTACCGTAATATATCACATTTAAATGCCCACATACACATTCCGCATAGAACATGCGACGGCTATTTTCTTCTTAACTATAACGAGGTAGTCGTTAAACACTGCAGGGGCATTTCATTTTGGTCACATTGATATAAAAATTTAAGATTGTATTGATATTTAAAATAATTTTTATTAATAAAAAAAAATCTTTACAGTGGACATTGTTTTTTATTCATTGTTTCTTTGCTCACATCTTCTATGTCATTCAGGTTTATAAATCTAGATTAATAATTATTGTTGGTATTTGGACCACAACAAAAATGCACCGAGTAAAACGAGCGTCCCACCAAAGTAATAGTTGAAACGTAATCATAAATTACTTTCATTTATTTAAAAATCCAAAATAAATTACAATATGAAAAATAAATTATTCAACTGTTTAAAAGATACTCTATTTGATCAAGATATAGAAAGGCAGGAGGGACCGTAATTTTTCTTTGTCACTTTCAAGTCTTCCTTTCCGACTTTGAGGACCTGGTCGAGAGGAATCACCAAATTTGAATACAGTCCCGTATTCTATTTGTAGTAAATACCTACTTAAAATGTAGGCTTACAAAACGGGCGAATCCACACTAGTCATTTACGCTGCATTGAGGGATTGACTGATCAGGTGAATAAAATAAGTCCTCGTTCTATGCAAGTTCTTTATTACCTAAAATCTTAAGAGAATATCATTAAATCAAAATAAATAAGAGTAACTACGTAAATATCCAGACAGTTCGCAAAGAAAACACACAAAGTCTTGTCAACAACATTAATTTCGCGACGCAAAAATCGATAGACAATTCGCCCGATTGTCAAAATAAATAAAGTCAATAAATATTAGTAGGGAATATTTTGTTTGTCGCAAATAATTGAACATACATAGCAAGGCTGCATAATCTATCGGTAAACACAAACACCTCGATATAAATAAATTTCGTTGTTAGAACCGTATTAACAGAAACCTCGGTGGACGTTACATTTATTTTTTTCAATCGACTTGAAAAAGAAGGAGGTTATCAATTCGGTTGTACGTTTTTTTTGTTATTTCTGAACCCCGTCATTCGTGAGCCATTTTGTTTTACAGCGGGTTCGGTTAAGCTTCCATGTGGTCCCATATTAATTTCATTGCTATTGGACTTTTCGTAGATCATTAGGTAACTGCTCCAAATTGAATGGAAAATGTATAGTGAGTGAAAAGTTTTAAGTCAGTTTTGTTTTTTTTTTTGGTTAGTAAAAATTACTTTTTATATTATTATAGTGTTATGTTCAATTATGTTGAATACTGAGAATTTTTACAGTTTTATACAAAATAGTATCATAAAGCTTATGCAAAGAAGCTATTATTTTTTAACCATAGCAAATTCACTTTTTTGTTTGTCGCATGCCTTTGTGAATATGCGTCTAATTGACTAGTTGGGTGCAAATCGAGATTTACGAAAGCTAGTGCGGGGACTTGACGAAATACGCCCCAGGCTCAGGCTTCAGCCAGCCAGGAGGCGGCCTGGGAATGGGCACCCATTCCTTGACCTCCACAGGCCCCCACATATGCTTCCACACGGCCACGTAGATCTTTTTCTCTTGCCAGGTCTTCACCCAACGGGGGCGCAGTACGAACTTCTTCTTCCAGAATCCCAGGTACTTGGGATCTTCAATGGGGCGACGGGAGGAGCGGTCCCTGGGAAAGATATGGTATTAAGCTCCTCCCCTTTTATCTTCCGACTGGAGTTAACTAATGCGTTTTAAGGCTTTCGTAGTAAATCATTTGTTGCATTTTTATGTACCCAAAGGAAACTAGCGTTAATTTTTGTTGATTTTTTTTTTTGGATTTGATAATCCAATCTAATATTTAATTGCATTCATAGCACAATATGAGCAAAGAGCTAACTACCAAAACAATTTTATTTCATAATAGAAAAAAAAATAGGTTGTATGGCTAATGGAGACACTTGGAAGTTGGTCTTGGAAGTTGAAGAAAGTAAATGTTCGTTGGCTTTAGGCGGCCCTTAGCTTACATTTTAACGGCTTATATACGCCTACCTTTTTTAAGTAAATGCGACATCGACACAACCACAGTAGATTAATGGATATTTTAAACAAATTGAGTAACTCACTCAGCTGGGTCAGGAATGGCAGGAAATTGCTGTTCAGACAAAGTCTCCTCCTCCACACAAAAAGCGAGACTCGATAATGCCAGCACACCGATTAAGATCTGCAAACATTTTTTTAAGAAACGCTGTGAGACAGTTAATGCTATCATTTTAATCATATCCATTCGCCCTTTCTCTTTGCTATCACTTTGCAATCAGATGAGCAGTAGTGGGTAAGTCAATTTTGGAAAGAAAATATTTGCAAATTGATTAATTGAAAATTGCCAAATCAAATAAAATCATATTACAAAGTCAATTTAAAAGACCGTTGTAATGTAAAGCTTGAATTATTAAATAATTCTTCAAATTACAACATATCTATTTTTCTTAAAAGTAGGTAATTAAAGTGAGTAAGAAAAGAAGAAAGTGCAAATGTTTTATCCATATGTCTCACATACTTTAGCAGTTTTTCAAAAGGCAATTAAAAAAATCGTTGAAAGCTTTTGATAGCTTTCAGTTGCTTATACTGTGGATTAACTCGACAGACGTCCAAAGGAATAAAATAGATGTTGGTGCCCAAACATATACTTTAAAAACATTCTGCAAATACACAAATTGGTCGAGTTCGGTAATATTAATTAAAACGCCTTCGTTCCCTTTCAGAACGAGCTTTTTATTCCGCAAATTCTCCATTTCACTCCTACACAATGGAACATTCGTTAAAATTTAAAGAATAGTTTATTTAATATATGTAATAATAATAATACCATGGTCCGCCCATGGACATCTGCTACACACTAGGGTTCCAGATGCGTTGACAACCTTTTGAAAATTGGGCTCCAGCCACCTCACTAGAAACCAGACGAAATGCTAAAGTATTGTACTTCCACTTTACGCCGGTTTTCTGTGAGGTCGTGGTACTTACCCAGACGAGCCTGCCCACTCGTGCAACAGCCGAGGCTGCTGCGTGGCCCTACCACCGTAAAAGGTTCAAGCACACAAATAAAAAAGATATTAAACTTTGCAATTTTATTTTAGTATTAACTGTACCTAGTCGTACATATTAAAAAATATATTAATTTAGTTTCCAAATTTAAAATATTAAAAAACTAGAACAAAATTATATCAAATACAAAGAAAATACTGACCAACATTTTCACACGCATTGTCTAAGATATTATAAATACAATTTAATGATTTATTTTATGTGAACTGTTTAACAATTGTAAGTCAAATTGTAACTGATGATGGATTTAACCAATAAAGGCCTTTTATAGGTGATTCCCATTTGACGTTACTCCAGGGGTGCTCAACATTATTTTGAATATGTAGGATACCTATTCAAAATAAGTATGCAAGTTTAATTCCTTATTAAAGAAAACTTTATCAGCAACATTTTATTTTAGGTTTAAGCGATTTATACAAAAAACAAATGTATCAAAATGGAAAAAAGGCCAGATGCAACAAACCAACTTGTACAAGTATTTGCTTCGTACTTTATTATAGACTTTTAAGTAAAAAAGACACAAAACACTTCATCTAGTATTCATTTTAAAAGTCAATTATGTAAATGACAATGGTTATCCCTAATTTTCTTATAGCAAACAATTTAGTTTCAAACTGTCAACTGAAGCTTCAGGAAACACTATTTAAATAGCATATTTTAAATATTAAAAGTAATGACGGAAGTTTTCTTGGCTATTATCAATGTGTAGAAGCTATCAATGCGCTTTTCAGGACCAGAAGGTTGTCGACAACTGCATGAAAAGGACGGAAAATAAATCGATGGCATCGTTTTAAGTGGAGAGAACTAGCAGAAATATCCACCATGCATTAAATTTTAAACTGTTAAACGTTGTTACGCTTGAGAGTTTAAAATTTAAAGCATGTTGAACTTAAGGGCAATTGAGTCACAGCGGTGTGTTAAATATTTTTATGTTAGCCTTTTAACAAAGGCAGATCTAATCCTTGTAGGCTTTTTATTACTTTAATTTGTATTTAATACATTTTTTGTAAATTGGTCGTAGCCCTGAGGAGGATCCCTAATTCAATCGATCTTATGACGCGTTAACAACTCATTAGACCATTAGGTTTACTGATTGCACTCAATCGACATCTCGCAAGCAAAAATCAGTATATATTATCAGAATCATAAACGCCACCTGTTACTTTTGGAATAAACAAGTTTAAAATTGGTAATAAATGTTGTCATTTATGGTTTTATTTAGCCTGCTATAATTAGAGAACTTTCAAAGTTTTAAAAAAATGTGATGTTTCACAATGTAACTAGGATTAATCATATAAATTACTATGATTTACAACAAAAAAAAAGATTTTTTGTAAATAATATAAATGATTCAAAATTATGATCCCTTTAATACTTACTTTCACAAATGCTTAAAGGTACCTTAGGTACTGACATTTGAAAAGACGGCTTTCCTCATAAATTTAAAATTATCCTTTTAGTTTAACGGCACGTCTATTCTGACCTTTCATGACTGTAAATCGTTACGGAAATATCTGACCTTTCCTTCAAACGTTTCGTATAATAGACACGGGCTAGCTGGAGTGAAAGCATCAAAAATAGTTATAAATTTTTAAATGGGTCCAATTTTGTTAATAGATTTTTTTAATAAAACTATCGACCCTCCGCAGCTTCGCATGGGTGCACTGTATTATACATATGAACCTTCCTCTTGAATCACTCTTATCTAGTAAAACAAACGCATCAAGATCCGTTGTATAGTTTTAAAGATTAAGCATACATAGGGACAGACAGACAGCGGGACAACTTTTATACTAGTGATACACAGCAAAGAGACTTACATTTCAAATTACATTTTACCACAGTCACTCACTTGTTTTGCCTTCCCGGAACTCCTCCACTAACACTTAAACTTTATGGTATGGTATTAAATTTTCCAATTGATTTTTAAGTATTATTACGAATCTTTTGTACGGGAATGTAGAAAAGTGTTGTTTTAGATTTTTTCAGGCATTTTTTTAAATTTTCACTTGCATAAGAACCTTCTCCTGATAATAACAAACACAACAAAAAAACAAGTGAAATCGGTCCAGCCGTTCACGCGTGATTGCGTGACCAAGGGAAACAGGGATTCATTTTTATATACATAGATAAGATGGTGTTAGTTATAAAGGAGGGTTCACGACAGCCAGAAAGCTGGTAGTAAACAAGTCTGTTTTTATTAACGAAAAACAAAACCGAATTCAAATAACTCGCTCCGTATTCATTTCATAATTGATGTTTAGAAGTTCCGCAAGTATCTTTGGAGCCCAAGATCCAATAGCAATGAAATTAATATGGGTCCACATGAGAAGCGCCGGCTTTCAAATAAAAAAAAGAATCATCAAAATCGGTCCACTCAGCCGTAAGTTCTGAGGTATTAGTTGGAGTAGTCGGTGTAGTAACAGGAAGGAGGCAATCCTGACTCTGCCGCTATTATAATACATTCACAGTCCCAATTAGCACCTATGACTAAGGCTACAAAATACAATTATTTTTATGCTAGTTAAGCGCTGACTGAGTGTGGATAACAGAGCAATAGAAGCCTTATGGAATTACAGAATATCATCATAAGTTGTCTATATTAATAATATTTATAATAATATGGTTGCTTCGTGTGACACGATGTTAAAACTTACAGTATTACATTAGGTAATTCTTTGTTTCAGATTTTTCTCTTCCATTTCACTATTCGCTGTGCACCCGAAAGTTGCACAGTATAATAGGTATACATATATAGGGATAATCCCTGTGGCAGATAAATAAGTAGTTAATAAATAAAAAGTATTAAATCTTTTATTAAAAATACAAATATTTTTTATGACAAAACCTGTATGAATAGCAAAATAAATTGTTATTTATTTTTGTATTCATACAGGTTTTGATGTATCCTGTTGGATACATCGTAATTATCCACAAAAAATCACGTGTACACGAAGCTCTGCGGGCCGTTATTTGTTTCACCCTGCGAGACATCATTAAGATGTTGGACGCACTCCAATACGATACCGTCCATAAACTTAATGTGATATAAATCACAAAGGGTTACGTCACTGGAGCGGTAGCACGTAGCGTACGGTTTCACGTAACGAAGAAAGCGACCTATCTGGACTTCGTGACGTAAATTTACGTGCTCAGAGCTCGGAAGCGGTTCCTGAGGCTGTGCTTATGTCAACAAACCCCAATTTTGTATCTATATATGCAAAAAAAGTGTGTGTTGGTATATAACATATGGAATTGAGGTTATTTTATAGTTATCCTTTTTATTGTGCTGTAGTGGAAATCAACGTAGTGCACACATTAGAAATTGGTAACGCCTATCCTGTTAGATACATACAGATAAATAAAATCTGTGTATTATTATTATTACATTAAATTGAATAACTGAATACATATTTAAACAAGGAACATAGGGTCTGCAACCACGATAACAGTTGACACAAAAACAGTGAACCGCTTTTTCGGTTCCTATATAAATCCCACTTTTGGCGATAATCAGTTTCTGCCATAATCCATCTTCATTGCGTAGGTGTGGGCATATAAACAGGTTTTAATGTATACCAAAATGACTTTGCAGTCTTCTTTTATCACATGATATTGTTCAAAATTGATCAACCAAAACGTAGAGATAACACTATCATTTGAAAGGAGTAGCCAGTGCCCAAATATGTAAAAAAACTATGAAGGTATACAGATTTTTATTGCAATAAAATGTATTGACAGATAGACCCTCTATTTGTTGCAGGTAATGAAGCAAAAGGGTAATTAACAGTGTATAAAAAAAGTATAACGACAGCAACAGGACAGCCTTGTCAAAAATACAAAAAACGGCCTTAGGCAGGCAACATAACATTTTTGGATGAATTGAACAGAATGTCTTCTGATGCCAACCAGGTGACAGACATAAAAGTACTCTGTGGATGACAGGCTATCTGGATTATCAGATTGGCCAAGTGGAAACACTTCTTTTCGTTTCGATGGCATTACGGTATTGTTTCTAGCATGCACCTTCTGTTTCATGCTCTCGCAGTTTTTCCTGTACCTTAGTGACCTATCCAAAAAGACACCCAAGTATTTAGGATAGTGGACATGCTCAATGAGCATTCCGCGCCATTGGATATTTAACTTGGTCAGAGCGAGAGTAAAATCGAATCGTAAGCG